CAGACTCCAACAACAGGAGCGTGAACATCCACTGAAGTGTCCCAAGGGACTTGTCCTGATGGAGGCACCATAGCAAGGCAAGAAACAAGAATGGTAGAACGGAGGTTGGATGGATAGCCACAGGACAGGCATTGGAGTCTTCTCTGATCTGCCTAGTATCTATTTGAGGCCCTTTCTGGAGTTCGGACTGCTCACTATCAAAGCACAAAACCAATTGTGAGATCGTCTGCACCTGTACAACACTGAATAATGATAGTCCGATTAGCTGCCCATGATTTGCGCTATTGCTATTCATTCAACATTATGACTGACAATCCTATCATTACAACATTGCCATTGATTTCTCAGGTTCTGGATCAACAGCCAAAAATGCACTTACAAATGAAAAGAGAATACTGTCCACGTGCCTGAGGCCACACTCCACTAAGTGGAGTGCCAAGAGATGCAAACTGAGCATCAGTGGCCACAAAATCCTGAATCCTAACCAGCCATATGCAATGCATCCGCTGCACAGTGTTTGCAACCAGCAGTACCTGCATGCACATCGGCATGGAAGGTCTCAGCCGCAATGAGGCTGCCTGTCCAAGTGTTGAGAGCAGATATGAGAGTCTGCTCTGGGTCTGCCCTTGTTGTCCTCTTGATGGTTTCAAGGTCTGTAAGTGCGGCCCCCTCAAGGTACTCCATCGTCAGCACCCTGAGTGCCCAAAGAGGCAATCTCACAATCTCAATGGTCGACAACTTTTCCATGTGCAGCAAGAGTACACCCCGCCAGCAGTTGCAGCCATGAACGTTTGCTTTGTAAAGCCAGAAGCAAATCCCACAACATGGCATGAATATCCACCCCGCAATTTCGGTCCAAGCCCTGCCGCTAGGACTTCTTGGCGGTGCACAGAGCACCGAGCCAGATTTCCTTGTCAAACTCCTGTGCCTTGGATGTTGCCCCTCCCCAGGGCAACGCAGTGCCCTCATGCCGGAAGGCAGTGGCAGGTACCTTTGCAGCCGAACTGGGTGCCAGACCTGTGCCCCAGGTCATGCTGGGTATGGAAGTTCTTGGTGGACATCGCGTGGAAAGCATCAAAGAGCTAAGCGAGTAACACACCAAATCTATGCAAACGTTACACACATGGGTTCATCAAAATGCGCACAACACATTCGCGTATATCTGTGGGGCCAAATAAAATGCTGCAGATTGGGGCGAAAAAGTCATTCAGAACACGGTGTGCATCGGAAAATGATTCGTGGTCACCTGTTGAGCAGTGTTTCTACTCACTTTGAGGATGACAGCTGCTTGTACACAAACGGACAGGTGGCAAAGCGGCTCATGCCTGATGTGTCCAGGTAGTTTCTGAAGTGGGCGATGTGCTCTGCCTCCTTTTTGAAGTCAACCTCCTCTTCAATAGTGTTTCGAATGTCACTGACTATACCCGAGAGGGATGTTCTTGATAGATCTGGGGTCAGAAACTCCAAGACACGAGACACCACATACAGGAAGTCGAGGTCTGTAGTCAGGACATCTTCCACCCCAGGCTTCAGTACCTGTATAGGCATGGCTGCCAATCAAGACTCCAGCTCCCTCATCCCCACGTCAGCTCCTCTGTGTCCAATTGACAACACTGGCCCTCTAGGGATGAGAGCCAAAGTTGCTCACACATCGGAGACTTGCATGTGACATTGTGCTGTTGACTGTTCACAATGCATGCAGTCTGGCTGACGGCAGCAACAACAACAGCAGCCTGCCAGGCAGGTTGCCATGCACCGCCGGCAAATCCATGCAATGAACTGTGCCTCACATATGGGTCCTGAAATGAAGGCGGTGACTTTGAGATGGCTGTTGCTGGTTACACTTCTGTCAGCACATGGTGTACAGGCAGCGCAATGGGGCAGGTAGTAGATTGGGAAGCAAGAGAAGGAAGGATGCACTACCCCCAAAGTGCTGCTGGCCCCACTGGAATTTTTGCCAGTCTGATCAACACACGCCAACTCATATCACTGAATCCTGTTGCAGTCAAAAGTGGTGCTGGGCCCAGTTACTGTGGCACCCTGCCAAATCTGATTACTGATATTGGACTGTTGGTTAACTGCAAAGTGCAACCCTTGTGTGGGGTTCGCAAATGCTATCCCACCTGCCTGTCACATTCCATGCAGACCATATGCTGGTTCACTGGTATGTGCCAGACAGAGCTGATGCGCACAATATGGTACCTGAACTGTTGTGAAAGTTGTGTGAGCAAGCTGCAAATTTGGTGTTGCTGAACCTAGAGGACAGACCATCCGAAAACAAGTCTCTTAACTATCAAATTTGCGCTTGAACTGTGCTGTTTGTCAAGGTGGTTCAGCTGATTTCACCGCGATTTTCCAGAAAGAATTTATACATTCCAAACAAATAACTTGATGTCAAGGAGGTGGCCATGGAATATGCACACCCACCTGCTGGACCCATTACTGAGTTCCCACATTTTAACACTTCTGCAAACACGAATATGGAGTCTTTTCATCCAACAGAAGCCATCCATAAGATTTCTCCCATGGACCAAAGCAACCTTGCAATCTAAAACCTGCAGGGACATCTGGTATTCAGGGTTGAATGTATGGAGCCTCTCTGACAGAGAACAACTTCATTGATTTTGCGCAAAGGTTAACAACCCATCTACAGTCTTACGTTTGTGATTGGGGGCCAACTTGCACCTCACAAAATCCTCTTGGCTTCGGTGGGGCCAAAGGCTGCCCTATTTAGGGACAAGATGAATTGGACATATACCCATTCAGCATGGAAACATAATGCTAATTGGTGCTGAGCTTCCATTCTACCTGAGCAGCAGCAACAAACCACAGCAACAGCAACAACAACAAAGTTAACCACCAAACTTATCCCCAAATGGACAGCTGGGAACACGGATCCCAAATGGATGGCACACTGTGGAACAACGCTAGACAGAGGGCCCGCATTACGCCATGGGCGCCGGGAAAGCGCCCCCACAGCCGCAAGGACGGCAAGGCCGAGCCATTAGAGCGGCCCCACCCTCCGCGCCCCCGAGTCGCTCCCTCCGCAAAGCAAAACCCCACGGGATCCCGCCCCATCCGCTCACCTTCACCGCCACGCGCTTCCCGCTGTCCTTCAGCACCGCCTCGTGCACCTGCGCCACGGACGCGCTGGCCATCGGCTCCGCCCGCAGCGATGCGAACACCGCCTCCGCCGGCCGCCCCAGCTCCTCCTTGATCCGCCTCCTGATCACCTCAAAAGGGACAGGCTCTGTCTTGTCCAGACACGCCTGAAACTCCAACACGAACTCCTCCGGGAACAGCGTGGGAGAGGACGCAATAAACTGCCCCAGCTTAATGTACGTGGCGCCCAATCGCTCGAACAACCGCCTCAGGAGTCTTGGAGCGGGATCAAATCCCCCGCTCTTTCCCGCCTGCTCGCGGATCGTCATCAGCACCGCTTCGGCCGCCTGTGCCGTGCGCACCACGCCCCTGCTGCCGCTTCCGATCGCGATCCTTGCCACGTCCTGGATCAGCTCGGGCAGCAACGCAGCTCGACTGGCCAAGTAGTCCGCGGGATCCGACCGCCTGGCGCTGGCCGCATCCGCCACCGTCGACGCCCAGCCCGCGGCGTTAGATGAGTCCGCGCGGGCGACGTCCAGCGGCTGCCGGGCGGGTCGACTGGCAGCATGCCGCCTGGCAGGGATCGACGGGAGTGCGGGGGAGCGTGGGGTGAGTGCTGCGCCCCGGGGCCCTGGGGTGGGCAAGGATGGCGCCATGGCGAAGAGGCGCCCGGCAAGGCCGATGCCAGGCGGGGAAAGGAGGGGTGCGGAAGGTGCCCTGTGGGTGGGCACGAGAGGGGAGGAGGGGAGGAAGTGGGTCGCGGCAAGGCGGGGGCGCCGGGCGAGTGGCTGTTGGCAATGGGCCCTGGAGGCCACAAGAAGGCGGGGCAGCTATGGGCGCGAAGGGGGGGGGGGGCCGTCCGTTGCATCCGTAGTTTGCCGGCTGAATCGTATCTGGGGCGGGTGGGTGTTGAGCCGGTTTGAGCTGGGCCCGTTGACATGTATCGGGCCAGCCCGGTGGACAGTTCAGGGTCTGGAATTTGTCCTATTTTACACTATATATTCCTATTTGTTCATGGACAGCCACCCTTCCGACGTAGTCTAGGTGGTTAGGATCTCCGGCTCTCACCCGGAAGACCCGGGTTCAAGTCCCGGCGTCGGAACTTTTTTCGCGCATTGCCAGCGGTGTATTTTGTTGCATTGGCACGTCCTCTCTGTTGCCTCCCGTTCATGTCGCGCTTGGAGTCATCCACATCATCCTTCAACCTTTAATGGGGAGGATGTCACACAAGTGTCACATGTTCCCTTCGACAGCTGCAGATACGCCAAGTGGCACAAGCCCCCCGGGAGGTCTCTGCCTTTTGTTTCAGCTTGCCAGATGACAGCCCCACAGCTTGCGTGGCATGTCCACGGCGTTAAACGCACTGACATTTTGTTGGTCACTCTCCACATATGCCTGCTGTTTCAAGTGGATGTTGTTGGCACCGTTTAGGTCATGAGATTCTTGGTCGTGGATGCATGAAGGTGTTTCTGCTACAGGACAGAGACAGAACGCCATGACTGCCAAGCTTCCGTGGAGCCTGATCAACAGAACTGGTGCTCTGAAGTTACCTGTCCCTTTTTGCATGATTCAGGGCAATTCCTCCATAAGTATTGGACCCCAGCAACCCAGCCATTCAGTGCCCAGGGATCTGCGTTGTTCAGGCCACCCGGCCACAGTTGTGACGCATTCCATCAAAAGGATGGAATGGTCATGAAAACAGAAAGCAACATTGGAAATGGGAATCGAAGCTGAATAATAGCACAATTGGAGAGTTGATTCCCTGTGGCACTCTCATCACGTGCAGAACCTTGAGGCATCAGGCGCGGCAGCAATTTGCAGACACACAACAGCCTCAGCTCGTTGTGTGTGTAACAATCGACCTCTGTGGGATGTATGTCTTCCGTTTGGCAAAACCCGGTGCAAGTGTGTTACGGCCGCCATTGCCATAGCATCCTGTGTCGCAGAAGCTCTGGGGATTCACAGTACATGAAAGGGTGCTGAAAGTTGATCCTGGGCTTCAGAGCGCAAATCTCCATCGTTGGGGATGTGTGACAACGCTCCCCCTGCACAGGGGCAACACTCCACAGCAGAGCTCACTCCCAACACTGGAGATTGTGGCAGTCGACAGTGTGCCAGCAGCCACCCATGAAGCAACGACGCTGCAATACACAGGCCTTGACGGAATTGAGCACCCCAACTGCAGCTGGGGATCGCTTCTACTGACACAACTCCTTCTGATTACAGTCGCATTCATGGGGAAAAACAGTGTCTTGGAGCCTGGGAAGGCGATGACCTGCACATCCAGAAGGTCGGTCTGTTGTTCCCCATTGGTTCAATAACCAACAGCCACCCATTAGCACCCCTCCAATCCAGTCTCGCAAGGACACTAGGACCGGTTGTTGTTGTGAGCACAAGCAGGGGAGTCACACCTCCAGCTGGCAGACGATCCCACCACCCAGTGGCTTTATTCCCTCTAACCTTTGACCATGGTCATCACAATGTCTGTGTGTCGCACCTGGCATGCAACCCCATGAGTGCAACATCGTGCTGACAGCCAGGTGGCAGGAAATGCAGAGCTGCTGGTAAACTAAAATAATGGGAAAATCAGCCAAAAAATCAGTTTTGCCAATGACAATACCCCAAAAGGGGATCGCTCCGCCTCAGTTGTGTACAATATGATACAAGGCCCAAACCTCTCATCGCTGTCATCCGGTGGTGCAAACTTGGCGGCAACCTTTTATTGAAGATTGGTTAGATTCCACACGCATATGTTTCGTGACTGTGCCCTGCAGGCACCAGACAATATTCACACTTCCACATCTAACCCCTCTCGCTCCCCTTGGCCCTCCCTCTCTTTGCCATCTTCCAGCACGTTGCCCTGGAGCGGCTTGCCAGTGGTTTCAATCGGAAGGCATGCCTCCCACAGCATGCTGGAACCAGTGAGGGCAAGGAGCACGCCCACAGACGCTCTGATGCCATGCTTATCAAATAGACCCTGGAAAGCAGCCCACATAAATCTGGCATGAGCATTGACCTGGATTCAAATTCTGCCACAAAGGGGGAGCAAGGTCTGTCACATATTGGGAGACTGCTATCCAGACGCAAGAAACATGCCTATGCATTAGAACAAGCGCAGCCAATACCGTGTTGGTCCTGTGTTCTCCCATCCTGCTGCAACAGGATGGATGGCGCCATTCTACTACACAGCGTCTTGCACTTTCCAAGAAGTTGCAAGTTTATTAGGTTTGTACACTCTAGAGCACTGTGCATTGTCAGTGCCCCATTGCGATCAACAGGAGGCACAGCCACCTCAAAGATTGGGTGCTGGCACAACGCTGGTACAATAGCTCAGAGCAATCAAAGAAATTTCAAATGCCCTTTTGTCTCTGATAGTGTTCAGCATAACACTTTTGACACAACACGAGGGGCTATTGTGCACTTGTGGAGCAAGGGAACAGAGTACAACATGGCCGCAAAGTCAATAACACATACTAGTCTTCAACGGTTCGTGGACAAGAAACACAATGCTTCACCACCACACCTGTGCAACGAATCCTGAAGGCATGCTCCCAAATGCTCCAAACATCTTTCCCAGGCCCGCGGACGCCACTCGAATCTCTGTTGGGAACACTTCTGGGCTGTAGACTGTCAGAACATTGTTCCATGCTGCTGTGAGAGTCCTTGCCGCGAATAGGGGCCATGTGGGATTCAATCCTGTGCCGGCAAAAACCACTGGCAGTAGGGAAACGACAACACCCCCCGACAGGGCAAACATCGACCTGCAGCAGAGAAAGTCAGCGGTAAACCCATGCCAATCTGACCATAACCAATCTGACAAGCATTCCTATGAACACTAGCCACAATCTTGTAGGGAGGATAGGCCAAGTCATACCACAAAGGCAGGAGCTTCTTGGCATCGATGGCATTTCGCGCTGAGTGACAATGTGCTGCATGGTGGTACAGCGCATGCAACCTATTGGCCAGAAATCGATGAGACGGCAGGAGACAGAATGGATGGACCACTCTATCTACCAGGGTAGGAACAGTTGCGCCACCCAAATTCTTGAGTGTAGTGTAAAGTCTGGAAATGAAGAAGTCAAATCCCGCACCATTTCCTTCCAATGAAATCGATGATGAACACTGGCAGCACATTCCCTGCCAAGTCTGCCGATGACACGATCAGCACTTCCCTGAAGTCCTCTGCCGACAGGGAGAAGACCTGTCCCTCACACGTCGATGTCTGTTTCGTGTGGATCTGGGTGGTAAGGAGAAGTATGATATTGTAGACCACATTGGCACAGACGTACAGCACCATCACCAGCAGCGTTGTCAGCCAGAGAGAGTCAGACACCAGCCTGGCAGAAGACCGCACAACCACGGTTATCTACGCTGTTGCTGTGTAGCCAGCATGTGACTACTGGGACGCTAGTCCAGGATCAGGATCCTGGCAGCAAAATGAGCACACCAACTCCTTGACAGCATGCAACAGTGTCTGGCAGTTCTGTACATTTCATTTGAAGACCTGCAGAAGCAAGGAAGAAGACATTGCCTTGACTGGCAACAGCTGTAAAGTGGGGACACTCCCATCTCCTGGCAAGGGCGGTTGTAATGAGCAATGAACAGCTCTTGAAAATACATGAAAATCACCTTCATAGCAGACTCACACCCCACACTATGGCAGAGGACTGGAATACAACTTGTCTTGAGAGTGTTCATCAAAAGGAGGGAATGGAAAGAAGAATACATAAGCAGACAATTAGACCATTGTCCGCTTTGCTTGAAACCCTTTGCTCCTGCACACGAGAATAAACCACATCAGACTGTGGCCTTTGAAACCAGCCCTCCCCCCTCCACGTGTCCCACCTTGCACTGTCTGACAAGAACTTCCCAATCTTTGAAGAGCAGTGCCGGCATTCATTCTCTGAGTCGTCCTCCTCCACTGCTGGCACAACAAGCTCGCCTTCTGGCAGCTGCGTCCCATTCAGCCTTGCAGCCCACCGCAGCGACTTCAGAGCCTCCTCAGAACGTCCAGCTGCAGTGAGGTAGTGCGCAGACTCCGGAACCAGGGGGAACAGCAGCAGCACCACAACTGCACACAGAAAACAGAGGATTATAACTGAACAGGAGCACACTCTGCAACTGCACCACACAGCTGAGACCATTGTTTGCCCTACAGGCCTGGCAAAGGGTACTTCACTGAGCCAGGTGCAGCAAGACACAGCCATCGGTGCTCCTGCACGACATTTGGGGACTGGAGATTCTGTTATCGAACCATGCAAAGGCTTGTTTGCCAACGCTATTCGGACAGCCGCAACCTGTTTCACCTTGACAGCATGCTGTGAGTGAGGGTGGTGGAGGTATGGGCTATGTCAATGACATATTGCACAGCATCAAGCAGCCCTCACGTGGACAGTGCCACACAGGGCTCTGGTTCTGCGCGCATCGCACAAGGGACATCTTGACGCACACATGCACTTATATGCACCATCCATCCAGGGGACCTTACAATCTACAATTCAGAATAGCCTGAGCAAAGGGCTGGACAATAAGATGCACTGTATTTCCAAACACCCCCTATGTCGTGCCCATGTATCCCCTCTCCGGACAGAAGCGACTTGTGTATATTCCAAGCCCAGCTCCTGGTTCCCTTTTTTGACAGTTGTGTTGCTTGCGCCGTCACCACACATATGGAGCACTTGAAATGCCTGTTGTGAGATCGCTCCGATTTCATATTCAAGTGATAAGTTCCAAGCATGCACGGGGGCATACAGGCGCTCCTTTCAATCGAGGCACTCACCATACGGTATGTTGGTGATCACCATCAGGCCTTGCCAGCCATGCCACGGCATAACCAGCCATGCAGTTGCAGCATTGCCCAGTATGCCCGCACTCCAGAACAACCCCGCTGCCACACCCCACATGCCTCTGTGGGCCGCTGGCACAAACTCCAGGAGGTATGTCAAGCCGGAGAACTGACCCGCGAAGGTGAATCCCATCAGAGCGAACATGAACTCAAGCCACTGCAGGGGGCACACACAGTTCAAAAGGCTGGCAGCGCAATGCACAGCAATGTTGTTGGTGATTCAAAGCACAGGTGAACCAGCAAACACAGGGAGATGTGTCCTGAGCACAGCACATATTTCGTTCAGAGAACGAGTCACTTTGCCGCAGTGCGTTTGAAGTCTTCGGTTTATTAATGACATGTCACATCGCCTCAAGCGACAAGAGACCAAAGCATGAAGCAAGGCACTCGAATCCACGAGGAGCGCCAGTTGCAACTCACGACGGCAGGATTAAAACACAACCGGGGTATTTTGTGTGCGCAAGAATAATTGTACTTTTCCAAGCCCGTAGGATGCCCTTAGTATTTTGCAATTTTAATCTCACTTTTTAGGTAGTTTATCCGTTGACATGCTCGGCCCAATCAGCGTCTCCTGTAATAATTTTCTTGCACTCCCCAACGGTCGCTTGTGGAGGGACGCAAGCGAGGCGTGGATGCAGCCTGCCATTGGCGCGAAGGTCCGGTGGATCGCGTCAAACGTCGCTCCGAAGCGTTGTTGCTCGGCGCGCTTGGCCACCCGCGAGCGCTGACGGGGGCATACCACGTGGGATGGGCGAGGGCTTTGCGCGCTGGGCGGTTATTTGTTCGGGATCGACACTAGGCGCCCCTATTAATTACTGGTAAACGCCAGGCTAAATGGACGTGGCCAGCCACGGCCGATGGTGGCGCAATTCAGAAGATCCTTTGCTGAATTTTGGCCATTTACCAAAACCGATTCTGCAAAGCGACGAGCCGCAACGCTCATAGAGGGCCCCTGCTGGCTCATACTTCACAGCTTGGGTGAACAACTGTGCCATTTTCCTTCGAGCCAGGTCGCTTTCATTCCTTGCCCGCCACTGGGCCAGTGTGCCCTCGATGGGACGCAGGCACAAGCGTGCAGGCCAGCGTAGGACCCCCAATCCGCGATGGCGTTCCGGCATTGGCTCGTGTTTGCGATTTTTCTTCCCTGGCAACTGCCCAAAGCAATGTCGCTTCATCACTCTGTGGCACGGCGGAAAAGGGCCCAGCATCGCTTTGCCAAAGGTTTGATGAAGTGCAGCACTGTTGCACCCGTCAGGGAGAATTTTCCACAAAGGGGGCAGTGGGCTTGTGCAGGTTTACTCACCCCTATGGTGGGCATCACTGCTGCCAATGTGCTTGTGAGGATGCCTCCCACTGTCGCAGCCATGAGCGAGACCTTCCGGCCCATGATGTCCGCAAGTGCCCCCCACAAGTAGGCCCCAATCAGCAGCCCAACAAACACCCACACTGTCAATAGGCTCTCTTGCTTGTCTGTCAGTCTCCATTCGCATTTGACCTGCGAACAGCGTGGACAAGCCTTAAAGGAAAGGCATCGGAGCACAAAGAGTCCAGACTGATTTCCTCGCCATCCAAACTTGCTGAGTTTCGCCCCTGTCCATGGCCGACACCCATGGTATGAGGAAAATAGTCCTTATCTTTGGAGAACCCAATACAACAGGCTGATGTCCTTCATCTTAGCCAGACACGTCGTTTCCGGTGCCACACGTGTTGGTGCACGTTCATGCTGTCAGGGGCTGTTCTTATCGGTAATGGCACCGTTGGACCCTTGCATATTGTCCTTCCTTGCTGCACCGGCTGATGCACAGACCGAGAAGCTGTCCTATGGCAGACAAGCGAGTGTGTGCGTGCAAGACTCCAATATTGACAGATGCGCAGAGCACGCTTGCTTTCTGCTCACAGACAGATAGACCAGGCACACGAAAGTGGTCGTGGACACCAACTCTTCCAAGCTGCAAAGGCTTTCAGCTCCCCCTGATACAGAATACTCCTCTTCTCCAACTACTGACGCAAGCTCGGCGATCCGTTGTGCACGTTCCAGGCCTTGTAAGGCTCGGATTGTGCAAGCTTGCTGTGTGATGCGGGGGAACAGACCTCTGGCGGCCAGCAGACACTCCACACTTGGCAGTGTAGCGGACAGGAGACAAGTTGCTGTGGTAGCTTGAGCCTCAGGTACGCAGCGAGCCCGCAACGCTCAACAGGCAGCGGGGTCTCAGCCCTAGGCGGCAAGCGCGCCCCTGTTGCTTCTACAACGACACCCCCCGCCCCTCGTCGAGCTAGCTACAAGCCGCGGACCTGCACCGCGCCTTGACACAACGATGACGCGGACATCGAATAAGGGCCAACCTTCATATCATCGGATGGTTGAATCGGCGTTCGCCGCTCCTTGCCTCGCCGCGACTTGGGCACCCCGCCGCGAACGACCAAACCCGGGCTGTAACAACCGCAAGGATCGGGGCGCGGCCCCCCGGGGCGCCGAGCCCGGCGCTCGCACTCCACCACTCACCGCGGGCGCCACGAAGGCGGCCACCGTCGCGTTGGCGCCCTCGCCCAGGGCGCAGAATCCCACTACCAGCATCATCAACACCTGGAACCAGCCCACGCCCAGGCCGCTCACGGCATCGTCCACCGTGAAGAACCCCCGCCCCCCCGATTGCTCCCCGCTGCGCTCATCCTGGCCTTCCTCCTTCCACCCCTCGCCTCGGTCCCGGTCATCAATCAGTGGCACGCGCTCTGATGCTGTCTCCCCGGGAGGCATGTCTTGCCGCATGTTTGGCGCCATCCAGGAAGGCGATCGGCCCGTTTTCAGCCCCAGCCCAGGCGAGGAGGGCTATAGGCGCGCAGTGAAGATGCGCAGTGCGGCGTGTGTCGGCTGCCCGTCCGCTTCAATGCGGTCGCGAGGCGGGGAGGGTGCGGAGCTGGGCGAAGGCGGGTGGCTCTGGCAGCACGGGCTGTACGGCCGCGATGAAGGGGACGCGTGTCGGGCGCTTCCAGACCCTGACGGTCTAGGGGGCCGCGTGGCCTGCGGGCCCGCATCATTGATCAGCGCGATCTTGACGGCCTCTAATGACGTGAATGGGACCTGTGGCCTTCCCGCAAAGCTCCCCCAACCTTCTTGTGAGGGTCTTGATGGGCCTCAAGCACGTCCAGCGCCCGCTGGGCACTGTTCAGTCCACCACAAAATGACCAGCATTTACTGGCCACTTTTGCTTTCAAGGTGGCTGATTATGCATAATCAAGGCGATGATCCACTGCTGGGATGGCCCGAGTATGCCACCAGTGATAGATAAAGAAGTGAGTTTCTGTGGGAGCTCTATGTCATTGAAAAGCCATGGTTTGGGTGTGCCAGCGCCATGTTTTGGGTATGCCGAGGCCATGGTTTGGGTGTGCCGGCGCCACGCTCATGTTATGAGTAAACAACGTCAGAAAGGGGACATCGCCTAGGACATTCATCCGACGGATATTCTTGAGGATTCCAGTCATGCAGACCGGCATTGTCATGTCATTTTCGATCAGTAATACATCAGATACTCCAGGGTCTGTCATCAAGCTCAGACAAGGCTGCCGTCCAGTTTTGAGCATCATTGGGCCTTGTATTTTGGGCACGTTGTGGGAACGATCGCTCTCACCGAGGCCTGCCTTGTCACTACGACAGTTTGGGTTTTGCCGGGAAAGTACTAGGAGGCCATGACGATCGCGAAGGTCTATCCATTGGCGTTCTGGCGAACTGCGATCGCTGCATGGCCGGAGGCTGGCAGCGCCTTGCTGCGAGGGGGACATGGCACTGGAAGCAATACCAGGGATCCCGAGGCTGACAAGGTGATCGACGGGAACCTGGCTGTACATCGTTCCAAGGCTGAGAGGAATCTTCGTGTCCAACGAGGGGAGCCAATCAAGATGGACAGGGAGGGACAGGTGCGGCTGGGATCTTGGGATGTGACAACGAGGATGAACTGACGGCATGACGGCACGACATCCCACTTTGAGGGCTGGAACGCAGGACTTGTGGCATGCCGCCGGCATGGCACAAGTATGGCCTGGGCATGCCACAAGGATGATTTTGGTAACTGATTGTGACTGATTTGGGACTGAAGTGACTTAGTAATTGTCTTCAACATGTTCTGCCTGCATGACAGCACAGACAAAGGGACGGACTAGGACGATGTTACAATACAGGTCCGCGGCATGTCGCGACCTGGGATCCTATAAATCCGGTCTGTCCACCCCAGGGGGCAGAATCGAAGTTGGACAAGTCCTGGGGGTTGTAAGACCTGGATTCGTTCGGCTGCTGGTGTATCTCCCATCTCTGCCCGACCCTGGAGCACGCTTTTCACCTGTTGCGACTCTGAGGAGGTGTGCGACTGCGTGGCATTGTTTGTTGGGCAGCGGCTGACTGAGAGGGGGGGATCATTGGCTCCATGTCGCGCAGACATGGGTCGATTCTCGGGTTGCGATGTCGGGATGCGGACTCTCTCGATCGGTCTTGCGCGGGTCCTCGCCTTACCCGTGTCAGACCGGTTGTGGACATGGGGGTTGCATGGAAGACGGTGATGCGCGCCTATCATGATGGGGTATCGTCGATTCTGCGTGGGAGGGATTCCGATTCCTGATTTCGTAGTCGCGGGCAGCTGGAGTACGATGCAGGCCTGATGGTCCACCCTGTCAGAGCCGTGCGTGTGTCGACGACGAGCGCGGGAGGTGTCGGTGACGGCGTGGTTGGATTTAGTAAGCGCTGAATTCGTCGTGAGAGGCCGCTCGTGTCAAGAGCAGGAATATGCTCTGATGTGTATGACCGAGCATGGCATGGTGTCGGTTCATGGGCGCTGGTACTGCGCAAGGCGGCGATCTGCCGTGGGTGCTTCCGGGAGGGTGTCATGATGATCCGGGGACCTGATCAAGCCCGGCGGGTCATGGGTGTACTACCCGAAGATGGAAGTGGGTGGATCGTTGCTCTTGTTGTCAGGTGGAGTCATGTGAGAGGCACTATGTCCGGAGGAAGGCGTGAAAACTTACTGGTATTACTGTGAGTACTGTGAGGTGTTCGCCAAATCCAGAGTCCAATCGCAGCCAGGTTGATTTACATCGAGTATCATCAAAAGATGCCGATGGGCTTTCTGAGTCGGAGCGCGTGGAGTACTACCATTTGATAATGCTTTGAATCAGTCCCTTTCATCGTTTGAAACACAGATTGCCCAAGTCTACTCCGATGGTGGCTTCCATCATGCCTGCATCATCTGGCAGGTTGCAACATGGTTTCGGAGCTGTGGTTTTCGGCCAGGGCAGGAAGCTGCGTGCTTGGGTTGTTGTTGTCATCCTGATGGGAGTACTGATTCAATCTACAGCCTGGAAAGTGGAGGAGGAACCGTCCAAGCACGGTCATGGACGTCAGGTGGCGTCTTCACCTAAGGGGACGTCCTGGGGTCTGCGTACCCCTTTTGATGCAGCTGTGGCGTTTTTTTGGGAACGGCTGGTGGGTGTTCAGATCGAGGATGATCGTCCTGAGCCACCAAGGAAGAAGATGGAATACTATCAGAGCTATGAATGCGACACTCTACGGTGCAGGTTCCATGCAGTCCAGGACGGAGCCCTGGATCTGATGTTTGATGCTGTTCTGGATCCAATCGGAATATACCGCAAGTGGAGATATGCATTTGCGCACATGTGGAGGGATGGTTTCCCTTATGCCAATGAATGCTTGGGTCTACTCATCCTCTACATCTTCGCCAACGCCTTCTCAATTTCATGTCTGCGTTTTGAGAAGATCATCAGCTTCACTTGCGACATGATTCAATTGTTTTTCAGCATGCCGATCTTTGAGCTGATGGGGAAGATCGGTTGGAGCTGCTACATATCTTTGATGACCAGAGTGAAGAAGATGAAGAAGGAGGCCAGAACAAAGCGTCTCGCTGAAGCAAAGACGAGGCAGGAGGCAGAAGCTAGGCTTAAGGCAGAAGAAGAAGCTGAGAAGAAAGAAGAAGAGAGTGCTCAAGAATTTATTGCAGATACCGGTGTGAGTTCAAGTCAGACAACGGCTGAGGATGCCAATCAGGCACCTGCTGTGACGGAATTACTTGGGGAGACCATTTACTCCCTTGACTTTTCCCCCTGTTCCCTGAGGCCTCTTGTGGGGAATATTATAGTCTTAAATTATGTTAATTGGCGACCCAATTAAAGGCCCTAGTAGATGGGATTAGGGCCTTGAGGAGGCATTCTCTTATTTGGGTGATTTCTGGCCGGCTGCGGTACTTTATGGCAGCTTGGCGGACGCCTGTACTTTGCACGGGTGACTTTGGTTGTTTTTGGGCCCACGGCGGGCGACCCGGGACGCGGTACGCCCTGCCGCACAAATGCCATGCGGTTGGATCATCAGTAATCATTGTTGCTTGCGATTCTGGCAACTCGCCTCCCGGATCGCGCGGATCGGACCACAATCCGTGCGACCCGCAGCATCCCGGCCTCCAACGCCGCGCACTCAGGACCTTCCAGGGATCTGGGCCCACCACCTCGGAGTGCAACGAGCGCGCGCCCCGGTCAAGCCGCGGCCAATCGCGGCCGCGCGGGCCATTTCGGCCATTCGGGCGACAAGGCGGCGGCACAACGCGCATCGACAAAACCAGCACCCCATCAGCTGGTTTCGGAGCGCGGAAGCTGAGGCGAACCGCGGCGGAGGGCTGCGAGCGAGAGAAAGAGCGGGGCGGCCCAAGCATTGGGTCGCCATTCGACGGGTCGGAGGAGGCGGACGCGGGTACCGGCCGGCGACCGCCGAATCGCAGCATCGATCGGCGAATCGCCGCGGCAAAGCCGGCGCCCGACGGCGGGAGGCCTTCCCAGGCCTTCGCGGCGGAGTTTGGACGAGCGCGGAGCGAGCGCGGCCCTCGCCACGCGCTGAGGCGGCGGGTCGGCGGCGGAGGAGCACCCAGGCACCTCGGAGGGGGTAGTCAGCCGCGTGACGGCACCGGTCTGACGTCAGAGGGACATCGCGGCACCCCCCCCAGCGGCAGTACACCGTGCAGTGACAACGGCACCGGTACAGCACGCAGCGGGCACAGCACGCACTGACGCAACGCTGCGCAAGGTGACACAGCACCCCAGAGTGGCGCGCGAGGGGCGCAGGCTGACGTAGCGCTGCGCAAGATGACACAGCACCCGGAGTGGCACACGGCCAAGCCAGGCGGCCACCACGGTGCCAGGAGCAGCACGACTGAGCCGTTACAAGTACTGAGGCCTTCACTACTGTGCCAAAGTACTACACCAAGGCCAGTACTACGCCAAGTACTACACCAAGGCCAGTACTGCACCAAAGTACTACATTGAGGCCAGTACTACTTGAAGTACTGCACCAGCAGCCTGTACTTAAGGACTTGGAGGGGGAGTGAGACTACTCAAGCTGTGGCCTCAAGGAATCCCAAGTGAACTCCAAGGAGTTGTGACCCCTTGAGGTGGGTTGGCTGCTCATTCCTGCATAGGTCCAAGTAGTTGGGGGAAGGAGTGTGCACAGGCGGGCCCCTACAAAGGGACTGTGTCCCCCCAGCCTTGGACCCAACCCGTTTTGAGGGTTGGTAGACCTTAGGAAAGTCCTAGAAGTGGGCCAGCCTTCACCAATAGGGTGTGACCTAGGGGCCGTCGCGATCCCCGGCTGGTAAGGCACTAGGCCACCCACAGTTCTTCCCTGCCCCAGGCAAGGGGCGATTGCCGCAGCATTAGGATTCTCCTTGGAATCCTAGTACTGTAGCCGGTGAGGGGGAACCGTGTCTATTAAGGACTACGTCTCAGGGGATCCTG